CACACACACACAAAAAAAAAAAAGGAAACGTTATACTCCCTCCGTTCGGAATTACTTGTCTCGAAAATGGATGTATCTAGAACTCAAATACGTCTAGATACATCCATCTCTGCGACAAGTAATTCCGAACGGAGGGAGTACCTTCAAAAAGGCGCCGGGACCTTCCTCCCTCAAGATCGTCTTAGCACAGCTTACAATTCCAGAGTATTGCTTTGTTTGCCCCTGCAATGGAAGTTGGAACCAGTGGGTCAGTACTCAATTATGTAAAAGTGGATTTTGGTGTGGAATGTTCCATTTAAAGGGGGAAGGATCCACCTGAACCATCAACCTTGTCTTCAGAACATCGAGGGGGGTTGTTATAGCACCAGTAATCGCACCTAGCAGAAATGGGGTACAGGATATAAGATAGCAGTCTTAGGCCAACGGGGGGATATAAGAGCAGTAAAAGCGGGAAAGGAAATACTATAATAGTTAAGAATGTGAGATGACAAAATAAATTGGGAAATTTAGTTTTACCGGCAAAGGCGCCAATTAGTGCATTCTCTGGATCCTTCAGCTCCCTCTTTGCCTAAATAGGTCCATGATAATTTCAGTTAAAGATAAAGTTGGAGAACAGTTAACAGAAATTACTGCTCCGCAGGGCACTAATAGGATTTGATGGAAACAGAAAGCAGAGACACATTTTGCATAACTGAGTCACCGGCATCAGGATGTGTCAGCAATGCAATGTTATGACGAAACAATCATGTGCCCAAATCTATGGCATGCTATTGAACTGAACAACATTCATCAAGGTACAAAATCTATGTAAGTGTGAGTTTTCAATCCCATATCAAGAATTCAAGACTGTAAGTGTTCTGAAACATAGAAACAAGAGCAGACGTGTTCATGGGAGTAGCTAAGAATGAATAATAGGTATAGTCAGTATATCAGCAGTGATGGACTAAGTACCATAAGCTTGTAACCAATTCGAAGTTGCTCGTATATGCAGAATTGAATGGCATCAAACGGAAGATCTCGAAGTAAAAATGAACCATAACCCTGCAAACAAAATAATCTAGTGTTAGAATGGATAAGATGATGATGTGTATCATGTGACTGCATTTTCTTAACAACCAAATTAATAATTGTCCATGCATACTTTAGGAAAATGAATGGATTCAAATCATTATATATCTCCTGATATATGAAATAGCAAGGAAAACTTATATCTAATATTGGTCAACAGATTGTTCACCAGCTAAGAGCTCGGAAGATACATACAGCAAAAAGCCCTCTAAATCCTTCCTTTGCAACTATGAGACGAACAGCATCAGGCGCAGTCCTGAATTGACCAGTTTGCATTCTTTGTTTGACCACCTGAATGCAAAGCAATTTTTTATGACAAACATCATTCAATGAACAGAAAATAGAAAAAGAAAAAGATGCTGACCTCTGTGGGGACACGAATGAGAGAAGCACCCAACCCTCCAACAGCACCTGCAGTCTGTAGCATCCTCATTCAGAAAAAAGGCTGGTATAAACCAACATGCTTAAGGGAGTAAGACTGCATAAAGATGGTGTAAAATAACATTATTTATTTTAAGCTTAAGCGTTATAAGGGCCGTCGACAAGCTTGCTAGTGTAAACATGACAGTGAAAAAAAGAGTATGCCTTGCTGTAAGCAATCAGCTAGTCCAACATAATGTGTGTATGGACTTACAAGATGAGCAACAGCACTCAAGTTTTCAGGAAACATGTCCAGTAGCTTCCGTTTAGTTGGTTCGTATATTCCCACAAACAGAGCAGAAGCCCTGCAATTATTTACAAAGCAGCTCAAGAAAATCACAACAGTATATATTGGAGGCAATTATGGCAGCAATTTCATCTCACGGACAATGAATACACACATTCTATGAGAAGTTGAGGTGCAATGTGAAGAGAATGCATATACTAGTGTAACTGTTTAACATGTTGTAGACTCACGGGAGAACACCGACAAGATTTCCACCTAATCCAGAATACAGGCCTTTCCATTGAATTTGACTTCCAGCTCGAGCAGCCTGCAGATATAAAAAACAAAGTCAGACAAAATGTGTGTGCTGGAATTGTGCATTGCCTGCAAGCCATGAACATTTAGAAAAGAATAAGACTTCTCATAGTGAGACTAAATAGTGACAAGAAAAATTATATCTGGCAATAGTAGCAAACACTTGTGTTAGCTGTGTAACTCTTACATAATCAAGTGTGTGTTATATCTGGCAATAGAGAAATGCCCTGCACACTGTTTTACAAGGTCAACTGGAACTGAATTACTAGTAGACTACTAAAGAATTCTATCTATGGGACCTTTGTCTGATGAACCTACTTATCTAGTTACTACTCTCTGGCTAGTTGGAATCAGTTTGCAAAATGATTTATGTTTCACGAAATGATTTATTTTTTATGTGCTAATTAGTTCCTGTCATGTACTACTTTGGAAACTTGGATGGTTTAAGATGACCCTTTAATGGGCTTGCAAAAAAACATTGTAAGAAGAAACATCCCACAGAAACAGTCCATATAGCCACGTACTATATGAATCCATGAGATTACATGTCGATCAGAGATTCAGATGCCTCAATATTCGTTTGAAAGGTGGCCACAACAATCTTCAGAGCCTCTTTTATAGACCACACGATGATGTGTCATATTAGCGGGGAGATCGAAATAAGCTTTGAAGCAGATAGTTCACAATCCAAGCAAGTCTGAAGCACCTTTTATTCTTACTTGTAAGGTTGCACCTCTTATTGTCTTCGGTCATATTTGCTACTGTCTAACATCTGTAGGGTGATATTGGATCATATACCCTGCAACTCTGGACGTTTGATGGGTGGATTCAGAATGTTAATCTGAACCAAGAAGCTGCCCAAATATAAAGTCCTTTTGCAAGAAGTGGAACGAACAATAACTGCACGCGCATCCATGCCATTATTCCTCCATCGCAGGCCCCAACCATGCCTCAGCAGATTTCCAACGCCACAGTTTGGTCACACTCGTCATCTTTGGCTTTGAATCTGAATATGGTGATTAAATGTGCCGGCGTGTCTGATTCAATCGTGCCAGTTTTCATTATTTATATATATGGTGATAAAATGGAAGAATAAACAGTGCTATCACCACACACTGGATATGTGTGTATCCAGTAACAGAAGAAAAGAAAAACCTTAACGGTCGATCACTTAAAACCGCCAACATCTCCTGTGTTTGCTACTTGCTAGTGCCGGCCAGTAGTTGACACTAGCATGGTCGTGTTTGGTTGCGAACAGGTATCCCATATACAAGGAACGCAATGAAGGTTGTCCTGAACTCCTGATTAATGTCATTCAAAGTTGAGGTATACACTTTTTTGTGGTTTCCCCAAACTGGGAACAGAGATTTGTGCCAGGTTCAGACATGGCATCCAGTGCAGGTAGTACAACATACAACAGGCCGTCAGACAATGGCATCCTTAAGCAAGTACTAATTGCTGGGAATTCAGTGCAAGACAACCCGTTGCTTGGGAGCAGGCTCTGGGGTCTGATTGACCGGCCATGGCATTGCAAACAAGCAAAATCGGAGACTGAACCGCACATCTCCAGAGCAAATAGAAAGAAAAAAACGGGTGGGTACTGCTTGGAAGTGCAGAAGTGGCTCACCTGAAGCCTGGTCTTGATGGTGTCGATAGGGTAGAGCGCCGTCTCCACCACGACCCCGGCGGCGCCTCCGGCTATGACGCCCTCTGCAGGCGAGTGAGGAGAAAGAAAAAAAAAACAGCACGCATAGTCAGTCCCCTAAATCTGTGACTGCGAGGAAAGCTGCAGAAAGCGGAGCGAGCTTGCACTGCAGCCGCTGGAGGAGTAGGAGGAGGAGCCGACGCACCGCAGAGGATCTGGAGGAAATTGAAGGGCTTCTCTTCCCCTTCCCCGCCGCCGCCGCCGCCCATGTCTGCACGCCGGCCGCCGGGAAACCTTCGCCGAGGTCTGGAGGAGAAGAGAGAGCAGCTGAGGCCATTTGCCGCGGAAATCTGCGGGGGAGAGAGGATTCGCACCTGAGGAGCGGAGGAGGAGCCGGCCGCGGGGG